AACTTAAGTTAGTTGGAACTATTATTACTTGTATAGACCCAAAAAAATGACTAGTTGATTTTTTTCATTATATATTCATTTTATTTCAAAACAAACACGATAAAAAGCAGATAAAAGTTCAATCTAAATCATCACCACCTGGTTCGTATGCGTCTTCATCGCTCGACATAATACTATATAAATAACCATCACTTTCGTCATCTTCGTTTTTCTCAAAACCGAGTTTTTTGCAAAATATCAATCTCTGAACAAATTTTTCTTCACTATAGTTTATTCTATTAAACTGCGGTTTTTTTTATTTGATAGATAGATATATCCTTCTTCAGATGACGAGAAGGAATTTTTTATTTGACTCTCAATCTATGAGCAATCAGGTATTTTATGAAAAATCCTACATAGAGTTTTCAGAACTTCAAAGTTTTGTAGATCCCACCAAAGAAAAAAAATCAAAATTAAAAAAACCCTTTCCCTCATCTGAAGCACCAAGGAGTTCTCTTTCAAATGAGACCAGCCCGAGCGCTCCATCTCAAAGTGTATTGAAAAAATCCTTGTACGCGTGGGACCCCCATTTTGCCCCTTGGTACCTGTATATCTCCCGAACGGAAAGGGCTAGAGCCATGAAAATTTTTTTACACTTGTACCTTTATGGCTCGAGCATCTGTAGAAAGTTTCATGATGATTCCATGCACCATGTTGAAAATCGATTTTGGAGGGGGGGGGGGGGGGCCTTAAACGTGTTTGTACAGCAATCCATTTTTCACGTAAATTTTTTATTTCGGTTAATAAACGTTTTTTTTTATCAGTATCAGCTTGTGGTTGTGCTTTTAATTCATCACGTAATTCTAATAAATGTTTACCGAGATTTTTACGTTTGATTTCAAGAGACAAATATGCTTGTTTTGGAGTTAATGTTGTTAAATTATCATCAGATTCTTCATCGATTTGTTCATCATCATCATCGTCATCATCATCAGTTGATGTACTTGATGAACTTGTTGTTGAATCATCTTCATCACTTGAACTCGATAAATTTTCGTCATCCTTATTGTCAGCCATTTCCTAACAAAATGAACATGAGATTTTATTTGGAAGCTGACATCTGAGTAGATTTTTATTTGATATGAATCAGAACCAATCAAAGAAACATAGAGGTCAGACAGCCAAACATGTAAACCAAAGTCAATAGGCTCACTTCATATAGAAGTTATAAGCCAATCAGATGAAAAGCCCATGCTTTACAACCATCCAAAATGATATTTTTCTTTCTTTTTCAGGTGCAAATTTTGAACTAACTCAGAGAATGTAGTATAATTCGGTGATATTCGAATATTATCGACAAAAATAATATAATTCTACTTCAAATTTACATGTAATCTCTTCTTATTTGATACTTAGTTTTCTTTTATTTTAGATAAAATATTTTATTTTAGATAAAATTTTTTTTTTCTTTTGGATAAAAATTTCAGATAAAAATGAGTGACAAGAAGGAAAGATGTAAAATAGCCAAGACAACTAATAATTTATCACAGGCAATAGGTGAATTAATAAAAGCATCTGGTGTTCGTCAAGCATTAGTACGTCAACACAAATTGATGAAACCAGAAAATACGACCACAGTTCTTGGTATAATAGACACAACTGCTGGTCGAAGACGGGGAAATCCACCACGTCCAGTGGGCGATTGATTATTAAGAATTGATTGTCCACATCCAGGTGCTGATTTTAATCATATAAATATAAATTCAAAATTAACCCATATACCTGATCCTCATATTCCTATTCCAAACGATGTTGTTACAGTTAGTAAAGGAATAACAAAAATAGCTGAAGTCATGCAAATAGTTAATAAACTTGCTCTTCCGATTGCTATAACATTGGATGGTGTACGGTTAGGCTGTGCTGTTTATGATGATCTTGAATGAGATGATGGAAAACTAAAGCAAACAATTAAAACCGGTGCTTCTATTGTTGGTGGATGGACAGGTGGTATTGCAGGAGGAATGGGAGGAGTTGAAGCAGGTGCAGCTTTTGGACGTTCTATAGGTGCACTTTTTGGTGATGTTGGAGTAATACCAGGTGCTGCTATTGGATCCATTGTTGGTGGAATTTTGGGCAGTATTGGTGGTGGTATTACTGGATCATATGATGCTGAAGCACTGACTGGAATAGCATTTTTCAATGATGATGAGGATTCGGATGAAGAAGATTGAACATTTTCTTGTTATTCATTTTTTCTTCATATTTCGAGTGCTTTATCTGTTCTACAAGTTTCTCTTTGAAAAGTCACTGGAAACATCTACTAATACTTTAACATATGTTTGTTTTTTTTTCTCTAAGTCCTTTGTATTATTTTTGAACTCAGGAATAAATAACATTTCTTTTTAAATTTTTGTTTCAGATTATTTTATCTTCAATATGGAATTGGAATTTATCATTTCTTCGAAATATTGGATTATCAAACCTTGTTTTTCTAAAACTGTTTACGATGAGAACTTAATGAGTGCTTGGAACAATACGATGAAAGATATTTTAAAATTAAATCATACTCATCATCCAATACTTATTATAGCTCCTAATCCATTAATTACTCTTGAAGATGTTTTGTCAAATGCTGAAATTATCAAGTATGATAACAATGTCAAATATTCGATTAGCATTTTACATCCCGAAAATGAACATGATAAAGAATTACTTAAAATTGCTGTGGATAGTGTTGAATTTGAATGTGCAGCTTTATGGTTTGCGGTATATGATCAATCGACGCCTATTTCTATGAACTTTAAATTGAACATACTCAAAGTTATTAATGAAAGCAATCATTTCATTTCATTATCTGGTATTAATGTTCAATTATTAGCATGTGTTGCCGATGGTACAGAATTATTATGGTTGAATCCAGGATCAAAAATTTCAATTGATGAAATTTTAAATTTGTTAAAATCATATGAATGGAAAGTTTCTATTAAACACAATAATAAACAAATTTTCATATGATGTACATTTTTTCTCTTAACTCTTGACACCCCATTGAGTCACTGCAGTGACTATTCCTAGAAAATAAATAAAGCATCGGATTAAAAAATTCTAAGAACTGTTTTTGTATTAAACTTAAATGGCTTTTAATTGATAAAAAGAGTATTCATTTTTCTTATGGGTGTGGATGTGGGTGTGGGGTATGAGTGTGGGGTGTGGGTCTGGGTCTGGGTGTAGCTGTGGGGTGTGAGTATGGGTCTGAGTCGAGGTATGTTCAGATTTCCCAAAAAAGGAACTTTCCGAGAATACCAAAACATATCTGATACTATCTCCAGACACTAATACGCATCAAGAAAAATTTCTATGAAACCTCTGTAATTACCATTCCATGAGAAAGAAATTTCCGCGAAGTTTTCGAATTTTCAGACACAAGTCAACGAAATTTCTTGGAAATTTCGGAAATTACTACCACAACAGAAAAGAAATTTTTCGAAAACTTCGATAATTATTCACACTATAGCACGAAATTACCCAACCAACCATTCGATAGGTATTTCGACGCGTCGATTTTGGCTTCCGTTGGGCATCGAAATTCCAAATCGACCCCTGGGAGTGCCATTTTCCGATGGATCGAGGGCTCGGCGATGGGTTGTTTTTACTAGCAGTTTTCAACCACTCGAATAGTCATTTCTGATGGATCGGAATTTCATTGAAAAAAAGAATTTTTATCCGATAGATGTCTCAATTTCGAGTTGTTCCAACCCATCGAATATAGATTTCGAGTCGTCGAGTCCTATCAAACATATGCGATGAACTAGATTTGAACATAGGTACTTACGATTCACTTGCATCGAACCATTAATCTAAATATGAACTATTATTCATATATCAAAACGACATTTTTAGTTCATAAGAAGATAGTACTCATGCTTTTTGATTTTTGTTTTTATTTTTTGAAAATTGAAAATAATATTTTTTATCCAGAGAGAACAATTTCTCTTAAATATTAGAAATAGTATTTTTCACCCAGAAAAAGGATTATTTTTGGAACACTAAAAATTATGTTTTTAATCGAGAAAAAATTTTTATCATGAAAAAGATTTCATCAAGAAGGAAAACTTTTTATATCTCTGTAAGTGACAGAAGAACTTTTTTTTTATTTAAGATTCCGTATAAATCATTTATTGAATAAATATGACGTGCAATATGTGATAAATCGACCAATTTGCACGTAGAAGCATGAGGCCAATATTTAGTAAATTTTTTAAAATTCACAACTTGGATATTCATTATAATAATTGTGTCTTAGTTAAAAAAGCAGACGAATTTTAGTTTTAGTTTCAATTGGTGGACGATCAATTTTGATCAGAAAATTCCGAAATTAAGGTGAATTATGAAGCAAACTCGAATAATATTACTAAAGTTATTGAATAAAAATAAAGAATGTTCTAAAATCGGATTTTGAAGTTTCACCTGATCAAGATTATAGACTCCTCTGTCGAAACTGTTATGATGATCGGTTTTACTCTTTTGAAGCACTCAAAATGATTCTTTCAATATATTAGAGGAGTCGATAGCATTATTTCGATAGCTGACTTCTCTCGGAGTACTCGAAACTTCGATGAGTACCGAGGTGTCGAAATATATACGACGAGTCGAAAATAAGTCGTCGATAGGACGCAGTGTCCGAGTCCTCGAAATTCGATGACTGCCGAGGGGATCGAAGTTGAAAAAGAACGAACAAAATATATATATATATATATATATATATCAAATTTTCGACCGCTCCTCGCACCCATCGTATGCTTTTTTTTGTTTGCTTGGGTACCAAATAATTTCCGTAAATTCCAAATACACAAAAGGACATTTATCCGTAATTACGGAAACTTCTATAATTTCTTTATTTATATCATATAGATATGATGAGATACATATAGATTTAAGAAACCCTATTCCGAAGAAGTAGAAGAATTTTGGGTAATTCCGGTAATTACCTGGAAACTTTAGTAATTACAGAAATTTCTATAATTTCTTCTACTTTTTGGAGTAAGGGTCTTTAAATTTATATCTATCTAATGATAACTGTATGATAAAAAAAAAGAAATCATAGAAATTTCCGTAATTACTAGAATTTTCAGGTAATTACCGAAATTACCAAAACTTCTTCTTTTTTTTGGGCATAGGGCTCCTTAAATCTACATTTATCTTATTATATCGTATAGACATAATTTGCGAATTATAGAAATTTCTTGGTAATTTCGTCCGCATGTGCTGCTATTTTTCGTAATTACTGATAAATGTCCTTTTGTGGATTTGGCATTTACGAAAATTATCTGCTAATTTCCTTCTCTAGTATGAGTAATTACCGAAGTTTCCGGAAAATTTGTTTTTGAATAGGATGGGAGTAGTTACGGTAGTTTCTCATATTTTCTGAAATTTGCATTTTGTACGGTTGCAGTTTCAGAAATATGAATATTTAGCAGAGAAATTTCCTTTTTTGGAAATCTGCCCACTGCTGGTCAATCCTCTGATCACTAACATCCACACCCTTGATATGCCATTTTGAAGCAAGTTCAAAGTTGAACACAAACTTAGAGTCTAAAAACATATAGAAGCTTTTTTCCATAATTCAAGTTCGAATATCGTCAACCACAGGAGAGTTGCGATGCTGGACGCCATTCCACACCCACATCTACCTCACATTCACACCCTGTCATCATTTGTTTGATTGATACAAAATGTCAGTCGAAACTATGCACTGTTAGTAATAGAGGTGTAGATGTAGTAATCCATTGTGAATGTTGTATGATCATTTCAACAAAAGCTTATATAGAATATGCGATACGCAATCTTATTGGGTTTTTTTTGAAGAACATTGCTTGCTTATCGTTCTGTTGCATAAATGAGCTGACAATTCTTTGCTTCCGACAATATCAACCGTATCTAGGAAGAACTCAAAAAATTGTAACACTTTCCCTATGTGAGCAAAAAGATAAATCTACCCAGTGAAAAATAAGAGACTCTTACCGAGTTGTTGTGTAACAAAAACAAAATTAAAATGCATTATTTTTTACTGGGTAGATTTTTTTTACCCACACATGGAAAATGTTGCAATTTTTTAGGGGTGTGGGTGTGATATTCTATTGAAAATAACACCCTCACCCACACCCACACCGATACCTACAAACCCATACCCACCCACACCCTTCTACAGATCTCTGTCTATATATAGAAGTCTGTCCTTTCATATTTCAACTATATTTTAAAGTTTCTTTAATTAAATTCTATATACTATGAATGATCCTAGAAGATTTATTCTGTGGTTCTAGGGATGATCCTAGGAGATTTATTCGATGATCCTGGGAATGATCCTGCTAGATTTACAGCGCGAATCTACGAAAAATCCTAGTAGGTTTATTGTGCGATTCTAGGAACGATCCTAGAAGATTTATTGCGCGAATCTAGAAACGATCCTAGTTAAAATACTACATGAAACGTTTTAAAACTCTGGATGAAATTCTGTGAAATCTCGATGAAATCCTTGTGAGATGCTGTGAAATCTTGATGAAATTGTGAGAATTCGAAACAAAACCGATCAGTTTCTGACAAAATCCGGCTGTATCTGTTCCGGATTTCACGTTATCTAGTGTTTCTCTGTTGGTGAACTCTGGCGGTTACGGCAATATCTGTTGAGCAGATTCAACAGGAATCAATAGAATCTTTTCCGATGTAATCCGATTCGGGATCCGTTAGTTATGAATCCGGTGATATTCAGTTGGGTTTCGATAAGTTTTTATAGGAGATGCGGGGGATTTTGGAGAAATCTGATATGAGATTCCATCGTTTCCGGTGGGATCTACAGGCTGGATTGAATCACCTCGGTGCTTTCAGTTCTATGAGAACTTCTATCATATATTTATGTGCAAAGATTTTTCTTTTATTTGTTGCAATCATTCTGTTCGAGTCGTTTGCTGCAATAATTCTTGTTGCTGTTAATAATAAACATTAGTAAAATAGTCTTCTGAGCATCGCCAGAAAAGAAATTACTTCTTCCTATCTATTCTAGTAAAAGACTATTTCTTTCTTTAAGTCGGCTTTTTCATTTAGAACGGGTGTGAGTGTGGGTGTTACTGTTATCATTGACACCTACATCCACACCTACTCCGTCAGACATTAAACAACTCTATAGTACCCATCTATAGACTGATTTTTGGGGCGCTATGTTTAGTTTTTTTGAAGACATTGGGATGAAAAGTTGCCAAAACGTGAGTGCGTTACGTGTGGACAAACCGTAATGCAATCTTATTTGGCTTTTTTTGAAGAGCATTGTTTGCTTGTCCTTTTACTGCGTAATTGAGCTGGCAATCCTTTGTTTCCGACAACATCAACCTTATCTAGGACGAACTCAAAAAATTGCAACACTTTCCCTGTGTGGGTAAAAAAGATCTACCCAGCAAAAAATGATGCATTATAATTTTGTTTTTTTACACAACAACTCGGTAAGAGTCTCTCATTTTTCACTGGGTAGATTTATTTTTTGCTCATACAGGGAAAATGTTGCAGTTTTTTGAGTTCTTCCTAAATAAGGTTGATGTTGTCGGACGCAAAGAATTGTCAGCTCATTTATGCAACAGAACGATAAGCAAGCAATGTTCTTCAAAAAACAACCCAATAAGATTGCGTATCGCATATTCTATATAAACTTTTGTTAAAATGATCATACAACATTCACAATGGATTACTACATCTACATCTTTATTACTAACAGTGCACAGTTTCGACTGACATTTTGTATCAATCAAACAAATGATGACAGGGTGTGAATGTGAGGTAGATGTGGGTGTGGAATGGCGTCCAGCATCGCGACTCTCCTGTGGTTGATGATATTCGAACTTGAATTATGGAAAAAAGCTTCTATATGTTTTTAGACTCTAAGTTTTGTTCAACTTTGAACTTGCTTCAAAATGGCGTGTTAATCATTAATTTTCTATGTAACTTTACTCAGAAAAGCGATGCGTGACCGTTCGGTCGCGGATAGTCACAGTAAATGTGATCACAGTGATCATAAAGCAATTTTTTGCGTCATATTACATGAAGGATTTATGATTAATACATCATGTTGTAGTGACTCGAGAGCTGAACGAAATGTAGATCATAAAAATATACGAAAGTTTGTCACCATAATTAAAATTCAAAATTCATCGGCAACGGCACAGTCACCATCCCAAGCACTAGCGCGAAGTGCACATGAAACTTACATTTATTGCTAGGTCCACACCAATACCCATACGCGTATCCACACAGGATCCACGCAATGAGAAGTCGTCCACACCCATACACAACTGACTGCATACATGGCTACACTTGGAAATTCCCTATTTCCAATCTATTTTCTATTAGACGAGAATACTGTATGAATCAGAGGTATGCGGTACAAAGGAAAATATCGTATAAGAGATGTAGTATGAAAGCCACAGTATATTATGGTTAAAATGTAGCCAAGATTAGCAGGAACCGAATGATATATTATGTGCATACTTTATTAATATATTTTTTGCATTTGACACTTCAAACGTGGTAAGATATACGATCTGAATTATGTATGCATTTATTTATGATATTCGAAAGACTGCTCTTTCATAAAGTCTCCGTAAACGTGCAAGAGATTCTCTGGAAATACCCACTTGAAAATATTTCCTTTTTAGTAAGTTAGTAGTTAGGATTAATGTTTTACTTAATTTGTTAAGTTAGTCCAGCTAGCTTAACTTTGGCTAATACTAATGCGATCCTCCAAGTACGAATATTTTAATTATAGACTAATCTTCTGTTTTTATTTTAGATTTTTATACGCTTCATTCGAACCAACTTTGAATCATTGACATGTCATCAAATCATGCAGGTACAAATTTATTCTCTGTACAAGAAAAGAATAGGCATGTCACTATTGAGAATTTTTGAAGAAAAGCCCGTGCGCACGATGTGGATATGAATCTCGGTCTGAGTACGGATGGGTATTCGGGTCGTTACCAATAAGTGCCAAACTGACACTGAAATCCAGACCAGAATTCACATCCACGCCCACACCTCCATATGCGACACTCACACACTCACACTCATTCCCGCACTCTCCTGACAGTACGCTAAGCTTATGCTACTTAAACATAAGCGTTTTTGCGGAAAGTGTAGAATAATTAACCATGATTCGTAGAATATTAGACCTTCCTTCTTAAATATCAAAATCAGAAACTCTTATTATTTTCATAAACTCTTTCGTTGAAAGATCCTTTGAAGGCTAAGAAAATATTGTATATAGGATAACGCCTTATCACTGTCTTTCTTTTTTACAGTGCGGGATCCTGGAAAGAAGGATGAGAAAGATTGGCGGCAAGTAGAAAATAATGGCGCCAAATTAAAATCCAAGGAAATTTATGGAGGCTTTGCAAAGGTCATATTAAGAACGTTCATGTCTTATCAAGAAGATTTGAATATAAATAGTGAACGGAAAAAAACAAATCGGAATGCATCATCTAAACAGAGTAATAAACAAGATTGGAAGAAGAATGCGAGCTATGAAAATGAACCAAATATTCAAAGAAATGGCAAAGAAGTATTGAATTGGAAAAGAAATAGGGGAACTCAAAATAACGAACCAAGTGAATGGAGACAAAACAAGAATCCAGGTATTGATTCGGAAAGAAAAGTGTGTTGGAGGACTAATAATAATCACTCAAGTCCTAAAAGTTTATCTCAACAACGTCTCAATGATAAAAAAGATTTAGTCTTCGACAAGCGTGATTTCTTGTTTCGTGATATACCTAAAAAGATACGTGAGCAAATTCAATTAGACGAAGTAGCCAAATACAGCGTGACGGATATGCGTACAGCGGATGACATATCCGATTTTATTGCAGGATTAGATGGTTTGAATGCAAATAATATTGTGGTCACAGATGGAACAGCATGTGTTGGTGGCAATACAATTTCATTTTGCAAGAAATTTAAGAAAGTTCAAACAGTTGAATTAGATCAAAATCGATACAATATGTTAGTGAATAACTTAAAACTATTGGGATATACCAATGTAACATGCTATCATGCAGACTATCTTGAATTATTATGTACCTTAAACCAAGACATTGTATTTTTGGATCCACCATGGGGTGGACCTTGTTATAAAGAAAAAGATGAAGTTGAATTATTTATGGGGAATATTCCACTAGATGAAGTATGTGAAACGTTAAAGTCGAGTGCAAAATATATTATAATTAAAGCGCCCACGAATTTCGACTGTGAAAAATTTAAAGCAAAAGTTAGTGGAAATTTACAAGTTCTACATAAGTTTCGAAAAATGCTATTGATTGTGGTCGATTATTATCATCCTTCAGAAGTGGTCCAACGGCAGCAAGCCACATACGGCCGTAGAAAAAATGATGACAAAACAAATGGGAGTCAGTATCAAAATAGAAATATAGGTAAGGAGCATCAACATAAAAATGAAGATAATTAGTAGATTATTTGGATATGACAAATGCAGAAAGAGGATACGATACTCAATGAAGTAAAACTTTGGTCGTAAACAGTACACCATATTATGATACTACCTAAATATACTATATTTGAACATTCCATGTGGAAGTTAAGGCCCAAAAAGTCGCTATCAATAGTTTCTGTGTTGTTTTTTAAAGTAGAAAGTCACCCATAAATAGGAATACATCAAGATCAAATTCTGTCTGATTCAAATCTTTGGTTTGACTGGATCTGACCTGGATTTGATTAGTAAAGTTCCACTAAAGATAATCATAGTCGTAATATCGGGATCAGTAATAAATTTCTTAAAATTTTGAACTCGATTTTCTGACGTAAGAGACAGGTTTTTTGGAAACATAAAGATTGTTATTGAATATTTCAATAGCTCTTGAGATAATGTTTACCACATAGTGGAATGCAGTAGACTAATTCGAGAAACTAATATCAGATTCGGATGGTCCGACTTCAATTTACTTCGTCAACGTTCCAAACATGGCTTAATTAATTGGAGACTCGGCCTCTTCAGTTCCGATTTTCTTTAGTCAAGGATGGGGTGTGGGTGTGCGTGCGTGTGTGGGTGTGGGTATGAATAGAAGGAAGATTAACAGCCACACCCCATCCACACCCATACCCACACACTCACACCCATACCCGCACACCCACACCCACACCCACACCCACACCCACCCACACCCCACACCCACACCCACACCCACACCCACACCGACACCCATACCCACACCCACACCCACACCCACACCCACACCCACACCCACACCCACACCCACACCCACACCCACACCCACACCCACACCCACACCCACACCCTTCTCCTAAACAGTTTTATTTCTTGATTGACTCTATTTTTTATTGCTGTTTTTAAATAACTCTTTTCGAGTTACTTCCTTATTTCTTGTTGTGTCGAGGAAAATAATTTCGCATCAGACACTTATTTATCACATTAATTAAGGCTTGAAATTTGAGAAGAAAATCGGTTGTGTTTGATATCAGAAAATAATCAACAACAAAACTTTTCAACTTATTTGTATCCATGTACCCAAAAATTAGTTCTGAAATTAACTTGAGATCGATTAAAAAATTGATCATAATTTTATGTTTTTTGCGCGTTGGGGTATGGATGGAGTGTGTGGGTCTTCTTATAATCACACCCACACCCTTCCTACATTTTCTCTTTGTTATACATTGTCTCTATCGCATGATTTATATTGATTCACTAATCTATCATTTCTTTTCCTACAAACCCGTTCCTTTTTCTCCGTGTTTTGCAGAAATTTATAGCATCACAAATATAGCGCAACTAGCTTCATATGAAACACCTACAATTTTATTTATTAATATAAAAACAAACGTATATTGTTAATTAACAGATACATTTCTTAACAAAATAAGTCAATATCAACGATATTTTATTAGATATGCATGGAGAGAATATATTAGGTAGGTGTTGATGTCTCTTCTAATTACTAATTTATCGAATAAATACAAACTGTTCATACTCATTACCCGTTCCGAAACATTTAAAGTTTCGTATGTTGATGACGAATGTCAAAGCTCGAGTTAATGGAGAAACAGTACCTATAGAAAAGATATACAACGAGGAACTGATTAAAGGGTGGGTATGAGCACCAATTTGTCTTGGTCTCTTGTGCTCGCGCCCACACGCCAATTAAAAAAATGCGCTACAAAATTTTTTAGTATTTTTATTACTAAAATCTTGTTATTTCGGAATTTCAATTTCTTGAGATTTTTTGTATCATGCGAACTCTAAAGTGGTTATTACCACAATGATTTTCCATCTATTACTGTAAAAAGCTGCTCGCTGCGACTCATAATATAATCCACTCCTCACTAATAAGATATATGCAGTCGTCAAATATTTTTTCTACAGCATAAGATAAATAATGTCAACATTTGAGACTAATTTCTTGTTTTAGAAACCAACGAAAGTTATAATACTGATGCGACAGATCAAAAAATAGCCGACAAGTCGACTTATGCTGCTATTGCCGCCACTGCTGCCAAGTTCGCCGTTGCTTATGCTAGTGATTATGAGTGTGGAGACTATGCTTATAGTCGTGCTTATGCGGCTGCTCGTGCTATTGCTCGTGGTGGCGATAATGCTGCTCGCATTGCTGCTACTGCTGCTTATATTGATGCTACTGCTGATATGACACGTGCTCTTGATTATGATGATCCTCGTGATGGTGCCACTTATCTTCAATTTGCTTCTACTTATGATTATTACCCTACCGATGGTACTGATGATGTTGATGATGTTGATGATGATGATGTTGATAGCACTAATAGTATAGAAGGTGCTGATTATGCTAATAGTACTGATGGTACTGGTGGTACTGGTGGTACTAATGGTATTGATGATACTAATGACGCTGATGATGCAGACGGTACTAATGTTACTTATCGTACTGAACTAGATGCGGCTACTCTTGCTCCTCTTGACGATGATGAATTTTGATTCTTGACCAAAGTTATCGATAACATTCGAGTCCTTTTTCGATACGGTGCATGTTATGCGTGGTAATATTCCTTTAAAACTTGTGTGTGATTTTGATTGCGGTAAGAATAGATATCACAACTAACATGATCATAAAAAAGCACAAAAATTTGAATTTAACCAACTACAAAATTTCCAGTAAACAAACCTAGTCATTTCATTTATTCATGACCGACCTAATTAGAATTAGGTTGTCAATTTTTTTAAATTTACATGTTGATCAAGAGCATGCTGTAACTAATGATAGCATATGAGAAAGAGTTAGGATCTACTGAGAATGTTGCACAATCCGTAAGATTCGATTAAGAAAAATGTCTTTGTTACCACTGAGAATCTTTTCCATGTGATTCAAACCGCTAAAAAAAACACTGGTTTCACAGCGGTATTTTTGACTTTGTGCCGAATTTCAGCAGTTTTGCGTCGTTTTTCCTCGGTCAGATCATATCAGTGTTGGTATAGATATGACTGCGGATGTGTTCGAAAACGAGCACCATACCTACATCCACACATAACTAAATGTTATCTCGTAAAGTTTCTGACCGAAACTACTACATGCTTCAAACTAGTCAAGGCACCTAAAAAAATGAGGTTTCTCAATACCTGCTATTTAAAGTTCCTTGAACTACTTCGGACTGATTAGTACTTCTGTGCGTTCTTTATCAAGAATGAATGCTCGATGGCAGCCTACGTCAGATTGATCCTGTTTCGTCACTTCTTAAATAATAGAAATAGGTTTGATCGAATGTAGTAGGAACCATTGAGTATAGTGAATGGAATGTTAAGGAGACATAATTACAAAATTAAAGAACAGGATGTTCGTTATCGTTAGTGGTGAAACTGAGGTGTGAACGATGGATGTACCTGTGTTGGTATGAATGTAGTTATAGATCTGGCTATGAGGGGTGTGTAGGTGCGGGATGTGGACGGATGTTGGAATTAATCTGGTTCTGAGTTTGATGAGCAATATCACTATAAGCTTACACGTATATTAATATCATTTATCTTAATATATTGGTAAACTTCAAAAATAATAAAAGATATAAATAACCAGTTCTCTTGAACGTTTATCTTGTTTAGAAGAATTAGCAGCACTTATTTAATGGATCTTAGTATGAAAAAATTCATTTATTAAAAGGTTGACATAATTTTTCAATTATTTTTCTAGATTTGTGATTTAAGGACTAGTTCGACGTTCGTTTCAATAATGATGGCCATTTCTGATTATGCAAATTCGAAACTAAAACAATGCATCGCACAGTGTCGTGATGAGTCAGTGGTTGACTTGTCTCACGGAAGTTACACTGATGAAGATATAGAAACAGTGATTGAGGAGGCAATAGTGCGCAAAAAATGCAAACAGCTCGTATTACATCATAACAATATTACAGAAAACGGTGTCCTAAAACTTGCCGATGCATTGGAAAACAATACGAGTTTAGAGAAGTTGAATCTTGGCTATAATAACATTGGTGATACGGGTGTTGAATATCTCGTAAAACCTCTGTTAAAAAACAACAAAACATTGATAAAGCTTCATCTACAGTCGAATTCTATTACACAAAAGGGTGCCGGCCATCTAGCTGAGATGCTCAAAATGAATCGATCAATACGTCATCTGGGTCTTGACTTCAACAATATTTGTGATCGAGGAGTAGAGCTATTGTCTCTGGCAATTCGCTCGAGCAGCGTCGAAGTCGATCGCATTTCAAATTCAAAGGTAAATAATGGTGACTATTTTGGTGAATACTACAGAACATAAATGCAATGAGTCCCCATTCCTAAATACCAGTACCTATTTCATTTAGTCCAAGCAGATTAGACCGATTAAATACTGCTGTCTAATTTCAAATGCATATCTTTTATATAAATTTTGATGATTGTTAGGCTGTGGTGTAGGTTTGAGTATGAATCACTATCTCATATTACAGCATAATCACATCCATACTCATACTCTCAACAGTCCTGATGTCGTTAAGTTTTTTTTTTTATAACCATAGGTTGATGCAAGTAGATTTCAAAACAATGGCTCGTCGCTTACAGCACTCTATCTTGACGCAAACAATATCACTGATGGTGGTGTTCACTATGTAGCTGACATGCTCAAAGTCAATCGAACATTAAAAAACCTGGCACTTGCCAAAAATGATATTAGTGATTTAGGAGTTCAGAGGTTAATTCAAACACTCATTGATTACAACACTAGTATCATCAATCTCAATCTGTTTTCTAACAAACGGATAACGGATCGAAGTGTTGATATTTTTCTGAAGCTTTTTCAGCAAGATCGTCGATTTAAAGTATACAAATTGTACGATAGTGGCTTTTCTATATTTGGTGAAAACAAACTTCGAACAGCGGCTAAAAAGATAAAGAGCTTTACACTGTAAGTATAATAAAAGGTATAATTCATAGCGACATACATTATAAATTTATGAAAGTCAGATTCATGTGAGTTTCACATTTTACCCTCACATGGACTGCACTAATAAGTGTCTTAATTAAAAAGAATTTCTTAGAGAACTGAAGCAATGTTGAAGATTTGAGAACAGATTTTCACAATTTTCAAAGCCCAAATATAGAGTTGAACTCATCGGTTTGAAATTTTCAGCTCAAATTATCAATTAACTGGGTATCTTCTGTTGCATGGTACAAATTTTTTTCCGAAGGATCCACTACTATGGGGAAGAGGGAAGGAAGAGGTGGTAGAACAGAATCCAATTTCATTCTTAGATCTCATTATACGATATTCATTTAAAACCTCACCATAAAGGATATCAAAATTCGGTCTTTAGATTATTCACTTAGAGTTAGTATGAGAATGTGCTCAACGATATATAGTATTTCCGGTTTATTTTGCTTCCGCTGTCCTGAATTATACTCGCACATAGGTGATACCTATGATATGTACATATGTGTCTCCTCTTCTTCTGATATAAGGTCTTTTCCATTTCATCATCCTTTTTTCAAGGATTCTTATGTTGTCTCCTGTTTCGTTCATCTGAATATAGTTACGAGTTGGAAAAAAAGCAGACATAGTATATTGTGGATCGCTATAGTTGAAAGATTTCTGCTAACAACGAGATAATTTCCAGATTGCTGCTTTGTTTCAATAAAAAAATCAAAAATATTTTTCGAAAGTTCAGACACTTATTAAGAAGAATTTCTAGAAAGCCTCTATTGATTGATATAGAAAATTCAGCATGCAAAAATATTTGGTAGTCAGATATTGAACAGCTCGTCCAAACGTTACATTATTACATTTTTTACGCAATTTTTTTCGATTATCATAGAAATTATAAGGGCTAGAAAACTGATATCAGCACTATTCGACGCAGCTCATCTTGCTGTATTTCTGCAATTAAAACGAATATTTTTGGTTGAAATTTCGAACTTTGATAAAATTTTTGGTATCGAAACGATGTTACATGCAAAGATTCTCGTGCTCCGTTGCAATTGCTTAAGCTCTAATTTCCTAGGAAAATTGACCCTGAAATAAAATATCTCGACTGAGTTTTTTAGAGTATCGAACACGCTTCCGAACACTAAAACAAGCTTTCTTTCAACAACTTTCAATAAAGTAAGCATTCGAAAAAAAAGAAACGTAATACTGTTGCATTTTTTTTCCATAAATTGGTATCATCTTTTCTATTCCATCTAGATTCCTCTTATTCACTGGTTTCCAATTTTAAAAAGATCTTTTTGTCAATCTATCTACTAAAGATTATGCAAATACCTAAAACACTTCTAACGTCTCTGTTAGGCTCAACATTTCCTGTCGTAGTAAAGTTTATTTCAGCTCTCGGTTGAAAATGTACTTACCAGTAGCTTTTTATTTCAGACATTGTGCATAATTTAGAGTTAATTGAGTTATGAAAAATTCCGAAAAGATAAATGCTCTTCGGTCTGCTCTCTAAGTTTTCTGGGATTTTACTGCAATATTAACCTAAGGCATACTGTATATGGAAAGAATCGAAGCACGACATTTAATTTTGAAATGATATCCACAAGCATTCTATTTTTGACAAACATGTCCTAAAAATTTCAACTCAAAGCAATCCTCTTTTTTTAGAGATATTGAAGTTGTTAAACCTAAAAACTGTAGCATGTTCTCTGGGATATGACTGATTTTTAGAACTTTGATATCTTGAGAAAGAAACACTTTTTCCAACCAAAATTTTCGCAATATTTTAGTCACAAATAGATTTATTGTCGGGCTTAATATTAATTCAAAACACTATAATTTGGTCTTTCGTTATACACCATATCACGAGCTAAAATTATAGTCAGACGCCTATTAGTATCAACAAAAGACATAAGAGCAATTATCTACCTATCTTGATCTGGATTGTAATATCGTAATGGATTCTGCACTACGCATAGTTCAAAATTGGGAGCGATTGGGCGGTTCGAAATCTCTCCTCGACATGTACTTTCGAATTACTACGACTGAAGATAGTCATATTCACAGACATCGGAAAACAAAAAAAATTGAACTTTTTAGAGAAGTTTTTTCCTAGGCAAGTAAATAACAGATCAGAATCAGCTTTGAATTCTATCTAGTTGCTATCTGTTGTTTGTAATATTAAAATTATTGGTCTACTATATAAATTGAAGTTAGTACCCAAAATCAAGGTTTCGTAATAGCATTCTGTTCATCGGTCTCAGTATGAAAAATTCTTTGGAGGAAAAGTAGTACGCTGGATCCGTCTTGAAAAGTTAATAATGATGCGGTAGTTTGTTTATTGGTATCTCGTCGGCAACTCTTAGAAATTTCCAAGTGAAGTCATATTCGTAACGTTGCTACAGAAAAATTGATTAAGTTTTATTCTGAAAATATTTTAGCATTTAAGAAAGGACAGAAGCTTACTCTTCTATCAAAAGAAAAGCGTTATTTGATAGTTGATTATGCATTTGAAAGCAGGATTTCAGGACCAAACATCAAGATCCAGGATTCAGTCCAA